CTAGTCTAATGCACCATTAACGTGTAAAATAAGTTGGCATCTCAGTCGTTCAATGCAGGTATATGTTAATATATATATGAGTAATCTTCCGGTCAGGTATACCTGACCGGAGCCGCCGTCCGGCCTCCTCCTTTTGGGGGCCTTCCCGGTGGTATTTTTTGCTCAAATTTTTTGTGTATGTTCCTCATCAAGTCTAGTTTATCCATACCAAATTTCAGCCAAAAATTCAATCGGGAAGGTCGTCAAATGATTTTTGCAAGTTAACTGGTCCGGAAAATACATATTTCGGACCAGTTAACTTGCAAAAATCATTTGACGACCTTCCCGATTGAATTTTTGGCTGAAATTTGGTATGGATGAACTAGACTTAATGAGGAACCTACACAAAAAATTTGAGCAAAAAATACCATCGGGAAGACCCCCAAATGGAGGAGGCCGGACGGGGGCAGTGGTCAGGTATACCTGACCTGAATATTTCTCTCTCTCTCTCTCTCTCTCTCTCTCTCTCTATATATATATATATATATATATATATAAACATTTACTTTAAGTTCCGCCACTGGGGGATGGTGTGACTATTGGAGCAATTTTTTGCCAAATTCACCATTTCGGTGTAGGATTTGGTGCTTGTTGGAGTTGCTTGACTCAGAAAATAGTCTCAAGTATTGAACAAGTACGTGTTTTTTTTAGGGAATTGTACGAATTATAATGGCAGAGATTTGGCTGAAAAACCAGCATTCACATGTGACTGATTCCTAGGAACTTTTGGGGTCTTTCTTTTTAAGCCATGTGTCCAATAAACTTCAATTATAGATAGTTTGCTTTACTCTCATTCATGTATTGTCTCAAATGTTTGATCATGGTTTGATTCATGCTAATTCATGTATTTTCTCCATAGAACTTCTCCAATCAACTATTAAATTGATGTTAGGAGTTGGGACTTTTAAAATATATTTTATGTTTTTTCTTTGAAATAATGTAATTCATGGTTTATCACTTTATGCTTTGAAACTCTTATTTTGATTTATCGGTACACTCAGGGCCTGTTTGGTAATGGCTACAATGGCTGAAAAGACTGAAAAGACTGAAATGGCTGAATCTGCTGAAGTAAAAGCGTTTGGTAATATGTCGGCTGAAATGGCTGATTAAACGTAAAATGACCACAAAGGGTATTAAGCTGTTATATATGCTACGGCCCGCTCTTACAACTGCTATACATCCTTTTTCATGAAAAACTCAACATCTATTTTATTATATTAGTGAAATATGGCCAAATTTTATATAGCCCACTTATGAGATTTTTCCAATATTCCCAAAATCGGAAGTCATTTTAGAACTGAAGTCACTCCAAATTAAGCAAAAGTGCAAAACTATTCTCAACATTATTCTTGGTTCTTTAAATGACCTATTTTCACCTTTTACCAAATTTCTACGTACAAAGATGGGTTCCTAAGCAGTAAGCACGAAGATGTACTCCAGGAAAAGTACGTATAATACAAGGGTTGAAAGGTCTTTGCAATCAGCAAGTTCAAATAATAAAAATAAGCTGAAAAAGTAACACTTAGCTTGCTTTTTGAGCTGATAAGAAAAATCAGCCAAAGTAGCCAATTAGATAGGTGTTTGGTATTTTTTTTTGCACTCTCAGGCTTAACAGCCCATTTCTTATGCTCCAAACGGCCTCTCAATCAACTTTTTTATCTTTTTGGATAAACCGTGAGCTTTATCTTAAATCTAGTAGCAAGTACAATTTAAAGGGGGATCCTAAAATGTTTTCTTTTGGACAGAAATTTGCTAATTTGATCTGGTCTGATCTGTTCTGGTCTGAACTGATCTGGCCTGATAAATGTCTGGTCTCTATGTATTTTATAACTACGAAAGTCTGGTCTGGTCCGGTCCTGTCTGATCTGGTCTGGGACTGAAAACAGTCCAAAAGAAAACATCTTAACTCATCAAATATAACCTCATCATACTGTCATGTATATATATACATATTATTATACTTTAAATATTTAGCTAGAGCATCCATGCATGATATATACTTATTATGTACGAGTATGTATGTTATATTACATATCCATGCATGATATAATACGTTATCCATGTATGTGAATACACTTATTATTAAACGAGAGCAGGAATTGAGAAAATATTTTGTGTTATTCTGTTTTGATCATCTGGACGATGCGTCCATATATACATGATGTACGCATGAGTATTTTACACGTACAAGGATGCCCATGCGTTGGTCAATCAGAAAAGAAAGGAAAGAAATTAAATGAGAGAAACATTCCTATTCTAATCTAACCTCTAGGTACGTACAAAGAAAATGTTACAATAAAATATTTGTACAAATAATTAGTAATAATAGTAACGGCTAACACCCCCCTCAAGATGGAGCATGGGGGTCGCAAATGCCCATCTTGCCAAGTAGATAGGAAAATTGATGTGCTCCAAGTGCTTTAGTAAGTAAGTCCGCCGGTTGGTCCGTAGTAGGTGTGTAAGAGGGCAGAATAGTACCGGCCTGAATGTGATCACGTATAAAATGGCAGTCAAGCTCAATATGCTTTGTTCGCTCGTGATACACCGGATTGGAAGCGATATGTAGAGCAGCCTGATTATCGCAGAAGAGTCGAACTGCACCCGAGTGTGTGACTCCCAATGAATGAAGCAAGTTCCGTAACCAAATTAGTTCAAACGTTAGAGACGCCATGGACCTGTATTCAGCTTCCGCAGAGGACCGAGAGACTGTAGCTTGCTTCTTGGTCTTCCATGATACGGGAGAAAAACCAAGAGAAACAAAGTAACCTGTAACTGACCGACGAGTGACTGGACAACTCGCCCAATCAGCATCACAATAACTAGTAAGTGAAAGAGGGGAATCGGACCGTAACAAAATCCCTTGCCCAGGTCGCCCTTTAAGATATTTAAGGACACGGAGCACCGCTTCCCAATGAGCCATCCTGGGTTTTTGCATAAATTGTGAAAGGATATGAACAGAATAGCAAATGTCAGGTCTGGTCAAAGTCAAATAGATAAGTTTTCCAACAAGCCTCCGGTAGCGCTCAGGATCAGAAAAAAATGGACTAGAATCAGACTACAATCGATGATGTTGCACCATAGGAAAAGCAACCGGCTTGCACCCAGATAGCACTGTCTCAGTCAAGATGTCAAGGACATATTTGCGTTGGCAAAGAAAAATCCCCGTGGGGTTCCTGGCTACCTCGATCCCGAGGAAATATTTCATGATTCCCAAATCCTTAACAGGAAATGTGGAAGCAAGAAATGTTTTGAATTCTGCAATCATGGTTCGGTCATTGCCGGTGATTAATAAATCATCGACATATATGAGCACACATATGATTTGACTACCTTTGCGTTTGGTGAACAAAGAATAGTCGGCATGAGATTGCGTAAAACCATAGTTACATAAGGAGGAAGTGAGCTTAGAAAACCAACATCTGGGCGCCTGCCGAAGTCCATAAAGAGAGCGAAGCAAGTGACAAACCTTGCCGGGAGATGAAGAAGAATACCCCGGCGGCAGATGCATGTATACTTCTTCACGAAGATCTCCATGAAGGAAGGCATTATCTACATCCATCTGATGTAGCTCCCAATGACATGAGGCTGCCACCGCCAAAACCGTGCGCACCGTAACCATCTTAGCAACAGGTGCAAATGTCTCTCCATAGTCAATGCCTTCCACCTGGCGGTTCCCGCAAACAACCAGTCGCGCTTTATATCGCTCCACCGTCCCATCACTTTTATACTTGATCTTGTACACCCACTTGCAAAAAATAGCTCTCTTCCCGGGTGGTAAATCCTGAATCTCCCATGTACCTGTACGTTCAAGAGCCTGAATCTCACGACTCATTGCCTCTCTCCAACGAGGATCGCGGACAGCTTCTCCAAAGGTACTGGGCTCCTTGTGCAATGTAATAGCTGCAAGAAAAGCTCGGTGCGGGACCGAAAAGTGACCATATTTTATACAATGAGATAGTGAATAAGGATTACCTGAATCTGCCGTAAGAGTTGATGTGCAAACGGGGGAAGAGTTTATTTTAACCGTGTTTAACTGAACATCATAATCTTGGTGCCACGTCGGAACCCTGCGTGGACGTGCACTTCGGCGAAGCTGATCATGATCAGGAGAGGGAATAGTACTGTCCATGTCGTTTCATCCTCCATATTTGTGGAGTCAAAGACTCCTCTTCTGTCCGTCCGTGCATGTTCATGAGACATGTCAGACTCCTCACACGTGTGGAGTGTTGTTTTCTCATCAGTGGCACGTACATAGTGCTCCCATGTACGTATGTCATTCCCTCCAAAGGAGGTTCCCTTGACTTAAAGGGAAATTCATGTTCAACAAATTTTACGTCACGTGAGACAAAGTGTCGCCGATTCTGTAAATCAAAAACCTTCCAGCCCTTTTGTGAGTAGGTATATCCCAAAAAAACACACCTCACACCACGAGGTCCAAATTTATCTCCTCCATTGTTTGGTTCATGTGCGTAGCAAAGACAACCAAACACCCGCAATTGGCTATAAATTGGTATTTTGTTATACAACAATTCATAAGGACTTTTTTTATCTATTACGGGGGAGGGCAAACGATTTATTAAATATCCCGCCGTCAACACACACTCACCCCAAAAATCAATGGGCAAGTTTGCATGAAACCGGAGAGTTCTAGCCATTTCCAAAATATGTCTATGTTTTCTTTCAACCCTACCATTCTGTTGAGGGGTGTATACACAACTGGTCTGAAAAATGATGCCGTTAGTCAAGAAATAGTCCTGTAGACTAACAAATTCCTTTCCATTATCACTTCTCACTACCTTCACATTTTAATTAAACTGTCGATTAGTCATGGCCAGGAATTGTTTAAGAATAATTTTGACTTCACCCTTGTCTCGCATCAAATGTACCCAAATAGCTCTAGAAAAATCATCCACCACAGTCAAAAAATATCGAGCACCACAAGTAGACTTAACACGATAAGGTCCCCAAATATCACAGTGTATTAACTCAAAAGGTTCAACGGCTCTACCACTACTAACAATAAAACTATCACGTGTTTGCTTGCCTCTCATACATGCATCACAAACTTTATTTTGAACAGAACAGAATTCAACAACACTATTTAAATAACCAAGTGACCGTAGTACTTTCAGTGACGGATGACCCAACCTTGAGTGCCACAAATCACCAGAGTCTGAACTTCCCACCGCATATGCCTGTGCTTGGTCCAGTCCCCAGAAAAAATAAACTCCCCCTCGTCGTTCACCCACTCCAATCGGCATCCTCGTAGGTAGGTCCTGTATCACACACAAATCATTAGTAAAAATTACATCACATTTTCGGTTATCAATTAGTTTCGCCAAGGAAATTAAATTGCATTTTAGTCCAGGTACAAGTAGAACATTAATTAAATTTAAACTTGTACTAAGGACCACACTTCCAACGTGGGTAGCTTTGGTACGTTCGCCGTTCGGCAGTACCACATCTACCGGTGCAATCCGCACCATCTCCGTCAAAACTTCATCATTCCCGGTCATGTGATACGACGCTCCCGAGTCGAGAAGCCACTCGTTGTCTAGATTCATACCTGAAAGTTTTTCCCCTGAGGAGGAGGAATTCTTACAACTTTCCATTATTTTGAGAAAAGTCTGCCACTGTTCGTTTGAGAATCCTGGTGCATGCATGGTTGTTTCCTTCGTTCCTTGTGCAGGTGCAGCATCTCCCTGGACCTCGCCCATATGCATGGCATGAGCAATTCCTCGTCCATAACCTCTGCCTAAGCCTCCACGTCCAGTCCCTTCGCGATTGGGGCCTCCACGTCCTTTTCCTCCTCGCGCACGACCCGGATTCTCATGCCACCAGTCCGGGTAATTCCCGGTTCTCCTGAAAAAGTTATCATAATCATGTCCAGGTTTCTGACAATATGAGCACTTCATTCGTTCCTCCTTCCTAGGAGTAATGCCGGTGCGTGCAGCAAGCGCCATGGCATCATGGTTTTCTTCTCGCCCACGGGTCATGTTCCGCAGTCTTTCTTCCTGCACCATCATGTTGTATACCTTAGTCAAGGGCGGCAGATCATCCGCGCTAAGAATATTAGAACGTAAAGTTCCATAGGCCTCGGTATTAAGTCCCATCAAAAAATCATGTGTTTTCTCGGTTTCAATATGCTTGAGGAATAATTTTTTGAGCCCGCAAGTACACCCATTACAAGTGCATTGTGGTATGTTTCTGAGTCCGTCGTAATCGTCCCAAAGCACCTTGAGCTTCCCAAAATAGTCAGTAATCGTCTGCCCTTGTTGACGGCAACCCCGAATTAATTCCTTTAATTCATAAGTTCTCATCGCGTCCCTGACGGCAAAACGCGCCTCCAAGTCGTTCCATAGATCACAGACACTGTCCATATAGGCCAAGTTGGATCGGAGTGCCGGATCCGCCGAAGTCATAATCCAACCCACCGCCATGGAGTTGACGGTGTTCCAGTCTTCGAGGTCTCTTTCACTGTGCATGGGCTGTTTGATGGTTCCGTCTAGAAACCCCAATTTCCGCTTTGCGCGGAATGCATTCCTCATCGCCGTAGCCCATTCTCGATAATTGCTCTCACCCTTGAGAACAAGGGCGCATATTTGTAGTCCAGGAAAATCCGAGCTCGACAGGTAGTATGGTGAGGACGGGTCGTTTATTTTCCGTCTCTCACCATGTTCACGATTTCCATCACCGGTGTTCCCTGTCTCGCCGGCCATCTTCGTCGCAGAATTGCGTGATCGGTTAGCCAAGGATCAGCGCTCTGATACCATATTAAACGAGAGCAGGAATTGAGAAAATATTTTGTGTTATTCTGTTTTGATCATCTGGACGATGCGTCCATATATACATGATGTACGCATGAGTATTTTACACGTACAAGGATGCCCATGCGTTGGTCAATCAGAAAAGAAAGGAAAGAAATTAAATGAGAGAAACATTCCTATTCTAATCTAACCTCTAGGTACGTACAAAGAAAATGTTACAATAAAATATTTGTACAAATAATTAGTAATAATAGTAACGGCTAACACTTATTATGCATGCATGTTATATTACTTAAATATAAAGATTTTATACTTTTACATGCCCCGTTAGTCATTTATGAAGTTAGTGCATGGATGTCAAGTATTGCTCCGTATAATTTTACATCAATGGTGAGGCCGAATGTATTATTATTATAAGTATACGTATGAGAAATGATACTTGTACCTAGTTGTAATCTTTATATGTACCGCTCTTATCTAGAGTGCGCTTGTGTTTTTCTTATGTTATACGAAGTATTACCATCAGTTTAAAATACTGATTTTTATTATTATATGCTACTCCCTTCGTGTATCTATAACTAAATATTAGGTTGTCCTAACATGTAAATTTAGGTAAGAAGTAATGCAAGCATATCAAACATACATATACATAAATATGTTAATGCATGCATGTTAATTATAATAGCACATATCTATCTATCTTAATCAAAGTATATGGTTTCATGCAAAATACATCGCCGTGGTATTCTACATACTCGTATATCACAGAATCGTTATAATTAATCTGTGTTAATTTTAACGACTTTACTTCTTAATAATACGGAGCTAAGCTTTATTTCTAGCTGACCTTCGTATTGATAGATTAAAGAAAACGTAATTACTATCAATTATGATAGATTTATGTGTCTATAAACTCAAAATTCTTATAAATTAAGAACACATATTTAGGGCACACAAAATTTCTAAGGTTATATAATGTTCATCATCCCCATAACACAAGGGGCAACGGGGACGAAAATAAACACAATAATCTAAATGGCCGGGACGGAAATGTACTGACCTCGTAGAGAAATCCTTCTGAAGATTTTGGTAGTATAATAGTATGGAGACCTCCAGTCTATACTGCTATCTTTCTCCTTATCCTCGCTAGCTCCGATTCTTCATATTGTTAGCTACTGGTCTCCTCTTTTATGTTTATTTTAGTATATTTGTGCTAAGCCACTTTCGTAAAGTAAGTGATAAAATATCTGATTTGGTTCTACATGTAATATGTATGACCACCGCCTATAATAGTAGAAGTTTATACTATCAAAGCATGGGAGTGAAGCCAAATCAGTGTTACGTTGTCCGCTCTCACATGCTAGTGACACGTATATATGGGGTATAGGGAAACTTCCATGTGGAGATTGGCATGCATATCACAACAATATATGCCTGATCGGTCATAGAAGTGTTTAGGCCGGCCTCCAAGTGTACTTTACCATGTTAGGACAACCAGCTGCTAAGTTATTTGTATACATATTGAAGGCGTAGGCTTTTCTTTTGCAGCCAAGTGGGTTGGTCATGAAAAGCTAAGTTTTTTTTTTTTAAATTAATATATTTAAAGTATAATCTAGCTTATGTAACAACTCTTACAAATAGTTTCGTATATGTTGCCTTTTAAATCCCAAAATTAAATTTGATCATGAGTCTCCTAGCATGTCACGGTTACACCATTTTTTATAAGGTTGGATTTAAGATATCATAATTATCTTACCTTCATTTAAATTATTAATACTTCATATTTATTGTTTATTTAATAATAATTTAGCAAATTTTAGAATCAATGAGAAAGAATATTATTCGAATTTACGTTACCGGCTAGACCGGTTTTTGGGTATTACAGAAATATTTAAAAATTGGGACAAAAAATCAATTTATTACGCAATATGTCAATATATCATAGAATCATTATACGGATGAGATTGTAATAACAAAGCCGCACACAGAACCAATTGCAAGTAAACAAATTTCTATGTTTAACATAATGTATATGGAGTATGTTTTGACATAGAGAAATGTCATATTTCAAATTTTACAAATTTAAAAAACAACCCAATGTACTCAAATACATTTCCGTTGCCCGGCTTGTATATAAAATATGAATATAACTACGATTTCTCATATCATAACCATTCTTTTCGACCACCCTAAAGCTTCTGACCAGACTTCTCATTATATAGTTTGCCATATTGTTCTCCACAATTTTAATTAAGCTTCTAATAAATGTTCTCCCGTGGTGTTTTACACACTTTTTGTCGTTTTGACTCGACGTCTTCTCATATTCAGTCGGCGCCTCGTTGGAAATCAAATTTCAACTTCCAATGTAATAAGTTTTCAACTCATATCATTTTTTATTTTCTAATTCGAAGGCGTATTGAAAGCGGTTGTTCACATGATATTCACTGTTTTTTATATTTCAAATGAGAATTTTCTCTTTCCGTTTTTCAACTTTGACTACATAATTATAATCATTAGTACCAACAAATTCGGTATATTCATTGTTTTTCATATTTCAGGTCAAATTTGTATCGATTTTGGTTTATATATTGAAACCTCTAAATATTTTTACTAAATTTCACAACTTTATAAACATGCACTTTGTATATCTTGGTGAAATCGTTGGGTATAAAATCTTATATTCGATGACTTTTTTAGAACATATATGTTGGTACACCATGCCCCTAAAATATTACTCAATTCCGTACGCCTAAATCACTATCCTCAAATATATGATTGCAAAGGGTTTCAACATTTATAGGAGAAACCAACATTTGATGTGTGTCATATGATGCTATAACTCTTGCAAAGGTTTAACTCTTGCGGATTTTAAAAAGGATAATTATAACATATGGAGTATATGATATGGTTTGTCTTTGTGAAAATTCTCTAAATGAGGAGCAAAACAAATTAAAACCTAACTTCACAAAAGGAGCCCCATTACTTTCTTTGGGATTTTTATTGTGTTATTCTTGTAATTTAGTGAAGAAAGCAGATTTAGTCCTATTTAAAAATTTTGCCCATTCATTTTTGTCCTATTTTGAGCAATCTTTTCAAATCTTTATTCCTAATCAGTAATGTTGAGACAAAAACTCTTATCCAGGTATATTTAACGAACAATTTTTTTTAAAGAGTTAAAAAACAAAGAACCAAAACCGAGAGAGCATAAATACAAATTCCTTTATGTTTCTATTTAATTAGATTGAAGTAATTAAATAATTGTTTCTATAAATATACTCATAAAGCTCTCACATTTAACTCCAACTCTTGAAATATAGTTTGAAGATTATATTCTGTGAATAATTCAATAATATTCCGTATAAATTTTTTCCTTTATTACACCAAAATAACTTTTTTTAGTGGATCATAATAACTATTTAGTGAGTTTAAACTTATATTTTCTTGAAACATTTTATTTCAATATAGAATGTCATTTGTTCATATTTTATTACAGCAATTTTGTGGTTACGAAAAAGAGTTACAATATTATAGCTTAAATAACGTGTTCATCACATGTCGTAAACTCGAATTTTTCTTAGATGACACAAACACACATATACACGGAGAGTAACTCTAACTAAAAATATAATCAAAGTTAACTTGATATAGAAATTAATAACCCAAACAAAATACTATGTACGGAGTATCTAATACGTAGTGCTTTGTGGGACTTTGATGAAACCTTTGTCTTCTCACCCTCCTTGCCCCTTGCTTCTTTTCAATGGGTGCACTCTGATTTTCTTCTTTAAGAGCTTTGTTCAAAGTAGATTACCTATTTACCTTACTCACCACCACCTTAAAGATCATGGTAGTAGGAAGCGATATAAAAAAGAAAATTCCTAAGCTATGTTCGCTCACTCACCGCTCACGGATGATACAACTACGTTGTATATATAGTGTGCTAATGAAAGGATTAAGACATAAATATTTTTTGGAAATATTACTACATATCTATCTTTTTATGTTTCCCATATGTGTTGTTTTAATAGATTTACCATATCCATGTGCCTTTTCCCCTGCTCAACAAGCCGTTCTGGATATTGGAGTTTTAGGATGTTTTCTTTGGACTGAAATTTGCTGGTCTGGTCTGGTCTGGTTAAGTCTTTCTGGTCTGGTCTGGTCTGGTCTGGTAAACGTCTGGTCTCTGTGTATTTTATAACTATCCAAGTCTGGTCTGGTCTGTTTAAGTCTGGTCTGGTCTGTTTAAGTCTGGTCTGATCTGATCTGGTCTGAGACTGAAAACAGTTCAAAAGAAAACATCCTTAATTGGCCGAGATGCTATATATTGTAGGGAAGAAAAACACTGCTTGTCAAAGTAATTCAACCACAAACCCAAAACAGTCCAAATATACTTGACAAGAATTCTCCCAAGCTTGCAAGAAAATCACAGGATCCCAGTTTAATAGCAGGTAGTAGTGGATGACATCAAAAAACATATATGGAGAAAGCTCTAAAATGAAATGAAACCAAGCACACAGAACACCACGATTTTTTACGTGGAAAACCCCTCCAAATCGAAGAGGAAAAACCACGGGACCTCCGTCCACCCAAACTCTTCACTAATCAACAAGGAATAAGTACAAGAGAGTCTCCAAACATCAAATATGATGATACAACAGCTCAAGAAGTATAAAACTTCAACAAAGATACAAAGAGGATGAACAAGGATTGAAATCACTCTAAAAACTACAGGTCTGTTCGGAGATGATTCCAGATGATCTAACCGTCAAAATCCAATCTCCACCGTTCAGAATTTAGGTATGTGTCTTGGGAACCTCCAGTCAAAATTTCAGCATAATCTGACCACGGATGCCTTCCCAATCGCGATTTCTCTGAAGCTGGGCGAGCAGCAAAATTCTGCCCAGAAAATATTTCTCTCCTTTATCTGTTATCTTTTTATGTTGGCTAATGTCTTCCTTGACCACAGGTTCTAGGGATAAGGGTCAGATAGGGCCTCGAACTCGAAAAAAAATGTCAAATAAGGTCATATTTAGGATGCTCTGTCCGGCCGACCCCATTTGGGGCGGTTCCAGATGCCATTTTTTGATGAATTTTTTTTAGCATCTTCCTCATTAAGTCTAGTTTACCCATACCAAATTTCAGCTAAAAATTCAACCGGGAAGGTAGTCAAATAATTTTTTGAAGATAATTGTGAAGTTAAACAACCCCGTACATTTCGGAAAATCATTTGACTACCTTCCCGGTTGCATTTTTAGGTGAAATTTGGTATGAGTAAACTAGACTTAATGAGGAAGATGCTCAAAAAATTTCATCAAAAAATTCCATCGGGAACCACCCCAAATGGCGTCGGCCGGACAGAGCATCCTAAATATGACCTTATTTGACATTTGTTTTCGAGTTCGAGGCCCTATCTGACCCTTATCCCCAGGTTCTATTTTGCAGAATACATCCTTTGACTAAGTGAAGAGTCAAATGACTTAATGGGTCTCCATCGATTGGGCTATAATCACATAGGAGGGAATAAATGAGACAGGCCACCATATATAACTATATATATAAGCTTCTATAATGCACTATGTTTGGGCCGGAACTTCTTGTGAAAGACTTCTTTTGCTATCATATAGTACTCCGTAATAGATTATGAGGGAAAACAGTCAAATAGGTCCTCGAACTTTCATAAAAAGTTCAATTAGGTCCTTCTATAGGAGGTTCTGTCCGGCCGTCGCGATTTGGGGCAGTTCCCGGTGGAATTTTTTGATGAAATTTTTTGAGCATCTTATTCACCAAGTCTAGTTTACGCATACCAAAGTTCGGCTAAAAATTCAATCGGGAACACATTCAAATTAATTCTTGAAGATAACCTGGCATTTTTGCGTTCTCGAATTAATTTGAATGCGCTCCCGATTAAATTTTTAGCTGAAATTTGGTATGAGTAAACTAGACTCGATGAATAAGATGCTCAAAAAATTTCATCAAAGAATTCCACCGGGAACCGGCCCAAATCGCGACGACCGGACTGAGTCTCCTATAGAAGGACTTAATTGACTTTTTTATGAAAGTTCGAGGACCTATTTGACAGTTTTCCCTAGATTATGATTATTATTATTTGCATAATAACAATTACAACACCTTCCAAGTCAAATAATACGTCGAAAGAGTATAAGATTAGCTAAAGCGCATATATTAACAAGTAGGGTTGTAAACGAATCAAATAATTTGTGCTCGATTCGCGATTCGAATTCGTATAAGATGATCCGAATTCGGAAAATTCAAATACAAATACAAATATGAATATTAAATTTGATTCGAGTTGTTATCAAATTCAAATAAGAATATCAGTGTATTCGATTCGAATATTAATCAAGTATATTCGATTAATAATAGTGATAATGTTAATATTAATATTAATAATAATAGTAATAACACTATAATAACTTTTAAAAGATAACAATACCCTAAAGTGTAGTTCATATATACATTTATGCATACAAATCCTAAGTCCATTTGTAATAAATCAAAGTATAAATATGAATACAAATCAGATTTTTGGTTCAAATGTCTTTCAAATACAATACAAATAATTATGTATTCGATTCGAAGAATAAAATTAAAGACGTCTGACTTTGATATATACAATTATCAACTTATTTCACACATTGTAAGTATAATTTCTAATACGTGTGTTGTGTTTATTTCTAAAAGTTTGAAATAGATTTATATTTGTTAATCATAAAATTGATTCACTTTAGTATATCATGCACAATTTAAATTCTAAAAACACATATTAAGACATAGCGTACATTTACAACATACTCCCTCTGTTCCCTTTATATTGTCTCATTTTACCTTTTTGGGAAGTCCCACTAATATTGTCCCATACCATATTTGGTAAAGTTTGTGTGGCTCAAAATCGTTTTTACTTTATTCTTACTTTATCAATTAATATCAACCACACAAATTTATTTTTCTTAAAAATCGTGTCACCTTCTTCCGTCCCAATATAAAAGGGATGGAGGTAGTAAAAAAATATAAGAAAATTTATTTTAAAGTGATATTTGACTAATATTTAACCTATGCTCAAATCTATTCGATATTCGTATAAGATTCGTTAACTATTCGTATTGTTAAACAAATACAAATACAAATCGAAATTAATATTCGTTTCATATTTGAATTCGAATTCGTATTCGAAAAAATTAATCAAATACAAATACAAAATCCTGCTATTCGACTCGATTCGGTTCTTATACAACCCTATTAACAAGAAGTTGAAGTAGTCCATGGGTGTGGTGTCCTTCAATCATTCATTTGTCCCGGGCTATGAGGGTTCAAGCCCTGCGGTTATCAGTACATTAGCGGGTTCACTCCCTAGCAGTCCGTGGTTGAGCCCGGTTCTCCGGTTTCCGGGTCAAATCGATTGGTCCCTTTACATATAATTTTATTCTTGTAACATAGAATAAAATAAGAATTATTATATATAATATAAACAAAATAAGACCAAAGGAACAGCCTATTTTATTTGAACAATTTATGTCCTCAGATTCTTGGAATCAGCCATGGAAAACATCTGTTTCCTGTTCGTCTACTTTGGTTGAACCTCAAGCGCCCGCTGTTGTTGCAAGTGCTGGACAATTCCTTGCTTCACAATCTTCTCCGTTGTCTCCCTCTGACGGCTCAGCCATCAGCAGACCCAACCAGCAAAACCAAGTATCAAACACCCTGTGCATTTCAATATCTTCGTGGCTCAGAGAAGCTTCGCAGAAACGGATATGTCCTCAACACTCCCTACGCATTTGAAATTGAGACCACCCATCCATCCAATCAATATCTTGGGAACCCATAATAACGTTGTTAGAGTTAAATCGAGAAATCGCACTCTTCATACCCGTCTCAAAGTTCACTTCTCTGTACACCGGAGGTTTAGCTCTCGGCTTTCATTGCTCTCAAGGGCCAGCAGTGATGGAGAGAGTGATACCCCTACAACCACTACTCGGGAGTCATCATCTCCTGTAAGTCCCTCTTACTACGAACTAATATGTATGGTCTCGAATTACTACTTTCTGTAGTGTTGGGAATTTGAATTTTTATTTTATGTTGTGCCCAAGTGTGTCTTATTTTGCCGCAATTATAATTTTGATTACGGGTCTTTGCACTTAGGCAAAGCAATGGTCCTCAAAATGGATTAGTTCCATTCTACAAGGTCCATGCACTTTTATTCCCTTATTTAAAGAACGCAAGCCTATGGATTTCTGTTTGTCTTATCGTAAAAAGGATAAGTAGGTGATGTAGTGCATTCCTCATTCATTTCCAGGCCACAGGAGATAGCCTGCCCAACATCGGAGATGGTTATGTTTCATTGTTCATCCGGATGTTGGGTTTAGACAATGATCCTCTTGATAGAGAGAGTGCTATAGTTGCCTTATGGAAGTATTCGCTTGGAGGAAAGAAGTGTGTGGATGCCATAATGCAGTTTCCAGGTTCTTTGAATCTCACAGTGAATCTTCTCAGGTCGGAATCTGATTGTGCATGTGAAGCAGCGGCTGGCTTATTGAGGATGGTGTCCTCAATTAATGTATACAGGGATTTTGTGGCAGAAAGTGGCGCAATAGAGGAGATAACTGGCCTATTGGGGCGATCTTCAGTATATCCAGATGTACATATAAGTCTTCCTTGTGTTTTTGCTCTCTGTACTTCTTTTGTGACATAAACACATGTCTTGGTGTAACATTGCATTACTATGTACAGGTGAAGGAGCAAAGCATTTGTGCGTTGTGGAATTTCACTGTGGATGAGAAATACAGGATAAAAATTGCTAATTCTGATCTGCTTCATATATTAATAACGTTACTGGAGGATGACGATGTGAGGGTGAAAGAGGCGGCTGGAGGGGTTTTGGCAAATTTGACGCTAACAAGTTCTAATCACAAAATTATGGTCGAAGCTGGAGTCATCCCAAAACTGGTGAGTCTCAATTAAATTTTCACGGTCTGTAAAAAAATCTATCTCAGTTAGTTTTACATTGAAAATGTTAAATGCCATAAAATGTATCCCCAATTCCAGAGGAATCCAGTGAACGTGTTTTTTAGATCTCACTATGCAAAAAGAGATGCACACGTGGTAAAAGAAGAGTAAAATGGTGTGATTAGATCTTGCTCACACACTTTGATGGGTTGATCTAGATAAGTAAATGATTTTGATCACAAGAGATATTCAGCCCATCACGCGGCCAAATACATTAGTTAAGGTCACAACATTAACCCCCCTCGTTTTGTAAACATTCTCAAATTCAATGCTATTGATTTTTCTTACATCAATTTTTAGAAGTAACCTCCCCCGTGTACCGAGGCCAGGCCATATACCCTCCTCTTCAAAATTTAATATCAGTAAAAGTTAATTTTAATAATATATATGTGTGTGTGTGTTCAATCAATATGACATGTGCTCGGTATGATGTTATTAGGAAGATTATTTTCCATAATAGAATTTTGTCTTGTTTGTATATGGTCTCAATTCCTTGAAACAATGGTGTGAAATGATCTCATTCTCCCAATTCCTTCCATTTCTACATGGGGCATGTGATTGGAGTCTGCCTACCAGCTGGTGCTGTGTGGAGCTTTTCTGGCTTCCAGAAAATTCTGGACCAGGTAATCAACATATCCAAAAGGGCTACGTAAAGTTCTAGGGTGGACGATAAGTACGAACAACACCCCGCACAAATATTATATATATATTGATCTGGAAAGATTGGATTACAATAGCGATGGTATACGTGATAAGAACAGAAGGAAATAAACGCAGAAAGAAAATATTGAGACCGGTTCGAGAGGGTCTCTCTCTCCTAAACCAGAGTTCTGCCAAATTCCAGACTGTCTTTCTCTCTCCATTTTGTTACACTTTATTCCTTTGCTTCAGCCACACGGATACCTCCAATAGCCAGTTAGACCTCCACTCTCCTTTACTGTCGGTCAATATCTCCTTTTTGTCCCTACGGGTATAGACTTTAGAAAAATCCCGGTTGGGATTAATTCTGAATTTAGCTGGGATCGTATCATCACCTCTCCCTTCAAAACTCACCTTTTCCTCAAGGTGAAAATCTGGAAACATGGACTGGAACTGCAGCAATTCCTCTCAAGAGTCTTCAATGTCAGGTAAGTTTTTCCAGTGCACTAAGATTTCCTTCCTTCCGGTAGGAGTCATTCTGGTGTTCAACACCTTTTCAGTTTGGGTTTGCAACTCCCATTCCTCAGACAAACAACTGGGTAGAGGCTGCCTAGGAATATTAGGGGCTACAGTTTTCTTTAGCAAAGAAACATGGAAAACTGGGTGCACAGCACACCCTTTGGGCAGTTTGAGCTTATATGCCACTGAATTTATCTTATCTATCACTTCAAAAGGCCCATAAACCTAGGGCTGAGCTTCTGATAAGGTTGTATTTTTAGGAAAACCATGTCTCCCACTTCAAGTTCCACCTCTCTCCGGTGTCTGTCTGCTTGCTGCTTCATTCTGTTTTGTGCCTCAGCCAAATTATGTTTGAGTTCCTGGAGCATCTCATTTCTTTCAGCAGTGAGTTTTGTCACCTCCTCCACAGCTGTTAGGGTAGCATCCCCTTTGAATAAAACTGGCGGGTCCTGCCCATACAAAGCCTTAAATGGGGAAGTCTTCAATGAGGCATGGTACTTGGTATTGTACCAATACTCAGCCCAAGGCAACCATTTAGGCCAGTGCTTTGGTTTCTTCCCAGTAAGGCACCTCAAGTATGTTTCCAAACATCTATTCACCACTTCTGTTTGCCCATCCATCTGGGGATGGTAGGCAGTACTGTATTTGAGCTTGGCACCCGTTTCCTGAAAAGCTTTGACCAAAATGAACTTAAAAACACACTGTCCCTGTCAGAAACTATGGTTTTAGCCTTTTAGGAAACCCATGCAGCTTCACCACTTCCTGAATGAATGTTTCAGCCACTCCTTTAGCCATATATGGATGTGTTAGAGCTATAAAATGAGCCAATTTTGTTAACCTATCAACCATCACCAGGATAGTGTCTTTGCCCATAGTTCTTGGCAGTCGCCCTATGAAATCTAGGCTAAATCAACCCAGATGTGAGTGGGAATAGGCAAAGGATGCAATAACCCTGCAGGCTTAAAGTCTGTTATTTATTTCGTTGACATACTTCACAGCTGCTCACATATTTCTGGATTTCAGACCTCATCCCATCCCAATATATCACACTAGCTATCCTCTTTAAAGTCCTGACAGACCCCGCATGACCGCCACTAGCCGAATCATGAAATTTTGCCAACACCTTATTGATCCCGGGAGATCCTTTAGGCAACATAAGTCTATCATTGTAGTAAATCTACCCCTTTCTTAATTTAGACCCTGTGTGGGATTCTGGCTGGGCTATCATGTCTTGGATGAGCCGATTACACCTTTCATCTTGTAGTAACTTCTCTTCTAGGTCTTCCCACTCCTGGCAACTGACCACTTATAATGTTTGGTAATTTCCCTTTCTAGATAAGGCATCAGCCGCCTTGTTTTCCAACCCGGGTTTGTATTTGATAACGAAATTATAGCCCATCAATTTAGTCACCCATTTTTGTTGTTCCTCCCCCATAAGCCTTTGTTATGTCAAGAATTTCAGACTCCTTTGATCAGTGTGGATTTCCAAATTCCTGCCCATTAAATATGGCCTCCATTTTTTTTTACTGCCACCACAATGGCCAGCAACTCCTCCTCCCCCCCCTCCCCCCCCTCCTCCTCCTCCTCCCCCCCTCCTCTCCCTCCCCCTCGGATACCACGTAAATAAAGGAGGAAAACTATTTTGGTAAAGAGAAAAATTTTCTCTTTCATGAGTTGGGGCCATGTACATGTGTTACTAGGCTTGTTCTCTACTCAATATCACACTAGCATATGCATCCCTATTCTGCACTTGAGTGATTGCGATTTCCAACGGAGCACACTGCTGACTAATTGCGCTGTTTCTGTGTGATGCTTTAGATTGCATCAAGTATGTAAAGTTTTTAAAAGTCTCGTTGCTTACAGCAACAAAACAACTCGATAGATTGCTCTATGGTACTGTTCGGGAAGCGATCACTTGCACATATGATGTTTAACTCTCCACAAGTAATTGTATACTCCCTCTGTAATCTATTGCTTGCTACAATAGGGTTTGACAGAATATTCAAGGGAAAAATAGTAGAGGTAATGAATAGTGTAGAAAAAGTAGAAGAGTGAGTAGAAAAGTTTGCAAGAGAATATGAGAAGTAGAAAACGTAAGAGTAATTGAGTATTTTTAAAGGGAAAACTTACCAAAAAAGGTTTAATTCAGCAAACAAAAATTTCCCAATAAGGAAAGTTGAGCAAACACAAGAATTCGTAGGGAGTATAATGTTAGAGATAATTTGTTACGGAGTACTATTTTTTGAATAATTGATTCAACATTTTGCCTATAAAATTTAAGTTATGTCTACTTTCATAGTAATGGTTACTTCAGATGCAAACACCTGTGTTGAGACAACATGTTTTTATTGATTTCAAGTGAAGATGACTGTCATACTGTTTTGTAATGAGTATTTACATTTGAAATCATTATAAAAAATTGATGCTTCACTTGAGCTACAAAGAAATGCAGTATCCTGTCGTTGAGTTTGCTTATCCGCTTTAACAAGTTTCTGTCATTGCGCTATGTCATCATCGACAGGCTTCTCTTTTGCATGGTTAGTACTGTGGCTGATGAGCCTTAAACCACATGCATTATTTACCTAGTATTGTTTGTCAATTTTATTCATCGGAAATAGTTTGGTTGAAACTTCACAAAGCTAGTTCGATTTTGTGAAACATGAGCTCTTCTCTGATACTATATACTTTCATTTACCATATGCAACATGCAGGCCACACTTTTGAAAACAGAAGTTAAGGGATCTAAGGTGGTTAGGAAAGAAGCAAGAATTGCATTGTTGGAACTTGCTAAAGATGAGTACAATAAAATTCTTGTAATGGAGGAGGGTCTACTTATGGTCCCTTTGGTTGGTGCTGCTGCTTACAAGTCTTTTAAACCCACTTTGTATTCATGGCCGTCTTTTCCTGATGGTACCCAAATTGAGAAGAGACCAAAAAGCACTTCAAAATATGGTGCTTCAGAACTGCTTCTTGGACTGCATGTCCTAGATGACAATGCAAACATTGACGAAGCAATGACAAATGCAATGGTTGGACAGGCTAGACAACAATTTCTTGCTCGTATAGGGGCCATAGAGGTTGAAGATAACAAGTCCAATGATGAAGTGCTATCGTGTCGGTCTACTCTTTTGCCTTGGGTTGATGGTGTAGCACGACTGGTTCTGATTCTTGGTCTTGAAGATGAATCAGCTGTTGCAAGAGCTGCAGAGGCCATTGCTGATGCATCCATCACCGAACATTTGCGTGTATCCTTTAGAGCAGCTGGTGCTATTAATCAACTAACTAAGCTGATCAATCATCCTAGTGACACTATAAGATGTGCTTCTGTTCGGGCTCTGGAAAGATTATCTGTCAGGTGTTCCTTAACTAACTAATTGTACATATATGATTGTTTTTTATGTATGAGATTGTCTAGGCCCACATTACTTGAGATATTATGCTTCGTGTTGATGTTTTATAATCTTCTGTGTATAAATCATTTTTGAGGTCTCTACTCTCAACAGCTCAACATATTTTTCTTGATTAGTCAATGCTTCGACAATGTTTTCTACTCTGCAATCAAGAAAAGTGTAAATGTAGTACTATTTCCATGGTTCTGGACTTCTGGTGTCTATTGTGATATTGTGTGAACTAAGATGCCTGCCATAACCTTTATGTTGAACTATGAAAAAGTGTCAATTTTCTCTCTCTCTGTCAGACATCAACTCGACAGAACACTAAAAAATGCTAAATTGAAAATGTTATTTGATAAATTGATACTGCCTTTGTCAAACAAAAACTGTCCATTTGGAAAAAGACTCTTAGATTGAGCAGAGTACAATATATCATATAAGTGGTATATTTCAGTTTTATTAGATTTTAAATGAAAATATTGAATATAAATGATATAGTTTAAAGCTCTACGCAATTTTTGTTTGATAAAAATTATTCCCGGTGTCCCATTTTCAATGGAGCCAAAGACTCACTATTTTTTGACTTGAGAATATGATGGAATTGATATACGGAGTATCTTTTACAAGAAGTATAGACCTATATATATTGGCTGAAGTCTGGAAGTGTCTATTCAGTACCCTAGGTGACTGCCTGAGTAGTGAGTACTAAACATAAATGAATACGAACTGAAAAGACAAGTATTAATAACAACCTGAAGCACTAAAGACTATTAATCATAGTAATACTAAGGAAAGTAATTCCTAGACTAATGATGTCTCTTCGTTTTATAAACACTCCCCCTCAAGCTAGTCTTGTAGATATCCTTCATGCCTAGCTTGACATTAAGACTCTGAAACCTAGGACTGTGCAGAGGTTTGGTAAACACATCTGCAACTTGATCCTCTAAGGGAGTGAAGCTTAGTTCAATCAGACCTCCTTCAACCTTTTATTTGATGAAGTGCTGGTCAATCTCAATATGATTGGTCCGATCATGTTGGACTGGATTATGAGCTATGATGATTGCTCATGTTTATCACACCTCAACTCCATTGGTCCCTTCCATCTGATTCGTAAATCAAAGAGAATAGTTCTGATCCATAGAAGTTCACACAGGCCATGGGCAAGGGCCCTTAGCTCAGACTCAGCAGATGACCGTGTCACAACATTCTATTTTTTGCTTCTCCATATCACAAGTTTTCCTGCCAGGAAAATGCAGAAACCGGTAGTTGATTGGCAGCCAATGAGAGAGCCACCATAACGCATCAGTGAAGGCTTCCGTTTAAGTAGTGTAGAACCCTATAGGCTGCTTCTAGATGCAGTTTTTTTGGGTCATGCAAACTGGATTAGGACACGGGCCGCATAGGCAGTGTGACAGTGTCAGGTCTGGTGTGAGATAGATAGATAAGTTTTCCGCACAAACGCTGATATCTTGTTAAATCAACCCTGGGTTCATCAGTAGCAAGTCCAAATGATTAGGATCCATAAGTGTAGTAACTAGTGGACAAGCACTCGTACCAGTCTCACTTAACAAATCTGTAATGTACTTTTGTTGGTTGATAAAGATGCCTTCAGATGAGTAACTTTAATTCCAAGAAAGTATTTTAAAGATCCAAGATACCTCATCTCGAATTGGGATTTTAGTTGCATCTCAAGACGTTGTTTCTCAAATGGATCATTACTGGTCACAATGATGTCATCCACATATACTAAAAGAATAGTGACTCCACTTGGGCGAGAGTGTTTGTAAAAAAGAGTATGATCACCTTGACTTTGACTATGACCAGCGGCTCGAACAACTTGGGTGAAGCAATCAAGCCAAGAATGAGGGGATTGCTTGAGACCATGGAGGTTTTTTTAGTCTACATACATGTGTAGAGGTAACCTTTTGATGTTTTTTTGAAGCCCGGGGAATGTGCATGTAGATCTCGTCATGTACATCATCGTGGAGGAAAACATTCTTGACATCGAATTGCAGTAAAGGTCAATCAAAGTTAAATGTCAAAGATAGTAGGGTATGAATAGTATTGAGCTTGGCTACAAGAGCAAAGTTCTCTTGATAGTCAATCCCACATAGGGATGGCAACAGGGCGGGTTTGGGGGGCGGGGGTTCGCTCCCCCATCCCCCGCTCTGTGTCTAAAAAGTTCCCCCTATCCCCACCCCATCCCCCACTACTCCCAAACCTGCCTCATCCCCACCCCACCCCATCGTCCCCCACGGGTGCCCCCATATAGATTTTATTTATCTTATTTGCATATTCTTTAATCCATTTTATAGATAAATATTAAATATAAATATATAGTAGAATATACTATATAGCACTAAAAGAGGTAAGCTAGATAATATTGTGTTTGATAAAGTAATTCTGCCAATTTTTAATAATTCTTTAATTTGAATAAGAAAAGTAATAATATAAGTAAACATAATATCATCATGCATGTCGTTACAAATTTCTCATCAATTATAATACAATTAATTATATATAGTTTGCATATATATGCATATGTGTTCTGTTTGATCACTTTCTCACTGTTTAGCACTTACAAGTTGGATATTTCCATCTTCCAACAAGTTTCCATGACTGTTTAGTAATACTATTCCAACTCCTTAGCACTTTGTTATGAATACATCGACTTATGCCTCGCTGAAATCCCTCATATTGCCATAAAGCCTCTCCGAGACATGTTACAAGCCCGAAAACGCAGTCAATTCTCGATGAAACTGTGTCCTGAGTCTGAGAACATTCGCTCCACATTATTGAACATAAATTCAGTTCCCTCTTTGGAGATTTTTCGGTAACTCCTCCGTGAAGAGCAGCATGGGCTTACCCAGGCTACCTTGGAGTAGGGTCACACTTCAGTTGCTTATGCCACTCAAGTTAAGTCTCCTCTAGAGATATGAGTTTGTAGCTACTGCACGAAGTTCAGACACATTTTCAAAGATTGTATATCAGGCACTATAACTGATCACTCGCTTATTTCCCAGTTGAAATATCTGCATCATTCCTTTCATATGAAGGATCTCAACGGACATTCATATTTTCTGAAACTTGAGGTTATAGTGGGTTCAATTGTTTTTTTTTTTCAAATCAAGCCAAGTGTGCCTGTGATCTCATTGATTTTGTAGGTTTTAGTGGTACTTCTCCCATTGATATTCCAATGGATTTAAATGTTAAACTTCGAAAAGATGAGGGACATCTTCTTCTGTACCCGACAATATATCGCAGATTCATTGGCTTGTGGGCAATTTAGTGTATCTCACGATAAGTTGTCTAGATCTCTCGGCAAGTTACTCAATTTCATCTTAATCCTCGTCATCTCCATATGGTTGCAGTTAGACGTATTATTTGATATATATATATATATATATATATATAGATAAGAGATCACATACTAACCATGCTTAAAATACTAACTTACTAACTCAATAATATGCAACACATTGAACTTCAATATGCAGTACAAATAATGTAAAGATGCACACTGTGAATTTCAATATGCAATAAAAACAATATGCAAAACTTTGAACTTTAATATGCAGTACTAAATAATATGCAACACTTTGAACTTCAATATGCAGTACAAATAATGTAAAGATGCACCGTTTTTGATAGTTTGTAGGTTAGCATGGGAGGAATGGTTAGTATGTGATCGCACCCCTATATATATATATATATATATACTCCCTCCATCCTGTTGGGATATTCCCGGTTTGACCTACACACATATTAAGGAAATAAACTTAAGGAAATAAACACTGTTTGGACACTGTTTTGCACTGTTTGACACTGTTTTGATGTAGGATAACTTTCCAATTAGGGAAATGAGAACTTCTTTTTGGGACATCCAAAAAAGAAAAGCGGGAACATTCAAACGGGACGGAGGGAGTGTATATATATATAATATGGGAAAATCGCATATATGGTCCCTCAGTTATCCACGAAATTAAAATCTCAGACCTGTATTTCTGAGATTGTAAATGTCACCCCTCAATTGTCCAAATTGTTGTAAATGTGGTCCTTTAAGTAGTGAAATGTACTCTCGCCCACATTTTATATTTCACCCCTAAAAAGGACCACATTTACAGCATTTTGGACAATTGAGGGGTGACATTTACAATCTCAGAAATACAGGTATGAGATTTTAATTTCGTGGATAACTGAGGGACCATTTATGCGATTTTCCCTATAACACTTGCCTGCTCAAAGATCACATGATTACCGGGTTTACTACTGAGCCTACTCTATCGCATGTCGATAACACTAGCGCTATTTACATTATTGCTAATCCAGTTCATCACAAGCACACAAAATTGATTGAGGTTGACTGACACTTTATTCGTGAAACATTTGAATATGAAGTGATTTCTCTGGCCCATGTATTCACTAATCTTCAAGTGGTTGATATCTTTACAAAGACTCTTCCTCGTCTTCCGTTCCTTGGGGGCAAACTGATGCTCGTTGACCAACCCCCATCAATTTGAGGGGGGTGTCAGTTAGAGAATCAGTAAAGGTATCGTTGTTACTTCGATTGAAATTTGTAATTATAGGAAGTTTTTATTAAGCATTAAATGCAAGGATTTCTTGCATTAACTGTAAGGATCTCTTGACTTGTTTCCTTGTACAAGTATTTATTTCTTGCCTATATAAATGTGAATATACACTGAGCAAGACATCTCAGTTTTTTCCAACAATCCCATTTCTTAGTTCTTCCAGGTTTTATATATTTCTTGTAATATTTCGTGACGTAGGGGTTATTTGAGCCAAAGGTCCCGGACACCTGCGTTATAACTAATGTTGAGCTTATTCAGTGTGACAGACTGATAGTTTTCATAGGCCATCATATTTTAGTTTATGCTAGTTTTTAACAAATATGTGAAGTTTATGATGAAAACAGTTTCTATCAAGTATCAACTCAAAGTATTTTGTTGTATCCTGTTCTGTAGAACTTGTTCTTCTTTCTGTTTGCCTTTTTGTACTATTTTCTCTACTTTTTCCACCATTTCTTTTGTATTGCTCAAATGCTTTATTTTTGTTGTGGTGGTGAGGGACAACCAATGCCTCAGTGGTGGGGGAAAGGGAATGGGTACCTTGAGCACCAACTGGACTTCGGTCAATTAGTCATATCTATAGTTAAATTTCTATAGGGCGTGTTTGGCTTTAGCGGTTAACGATTAACGGATTATGTTAGCAGGTTGTTAATAGCGGATTCAGTCATCGGGTTTGACTAACGGAATAAGTTGGCGGGTGGTAAAAAGATGTTTGGTAATTTAGCTGTTTGGCCATAACAATTAGTAGGAAATGTCCTATCTCGAAATGCTAACTCAAAACGTTGCTATTAGTCACATTTCCATTTCAGCGGTTCTGTCTAAAAGTGCTAGGGCCGGACAGCTATATATACCAAACAACTATTTTTTGGCTGAAACGCCGTTTTCCAAACACCCCCATAGATCTTTTACTGTTGTACATACAAAACAATCCATCTATGGAGCTTGATAGCTATATTAATACAATTGGTGTTGACTTGTATGCTAACACATCACACTATGTGTCTCATCTAAAATCATGTGTCAGAATTTGCATTGGGACTATGCCCCTCCCCTAAAGTGTGATATTGTTAACTAGTCTTTGAGCTTTGTTGGTAATTAGATGTTGTGGAAGATGATTTTTACTGCTGAACATGTAAAAAATTTGTAATAAATCTTTTCATGTCTTTTGGTACAGCAATGCAGTTTGCCAAAGACTAGGAGAAGAAAACATTTTGCACCCTTTGATAAATTTACTGAATAACTTAGACGTGTCTAATAACATTATAAAAATGGTAGTGTGCTCCAATACTTTTCTTCCCAAATTTGATTCAATTTAAAATAAATTTCGCATTGCTAATTGCTAAACAGCTGATTTAAGAAACGATATGTCCCTCCTGCAGGTTGTTGATATTCTTAGTCGGGTTCTAGATCCGAGCAAAGAAATGAAATCCAAGGTCTGAACCTACCTCTCATTGAAGTTTCTTTATTGAATTATTAGAATATAGGGATTGCATGTTAGATAATCCACTTTTGCATGTTTGGCAAAGAATTTGAAGTATGAATTGAACACCTTTTAGGCTTTTGTCTTTTGTAAGCTAATAAACTATAAGCAATCTGCTTTAAATAATGGATTATTATGTCCCTAAATCAGAATCATAATGTATAATCTTAAGCTTTATCAATTAGACACACAAGTCAAGATCCAAATGTTTCCAAGAGTCTTTCTGAATGACTCTCTTTATCCAAGTTTAGTTTTTTGAGGGGCCTATCAACCTTTCAACAAAGGGATTGGTGGAAATAAGGAACATGGAATCTGGCGGAGAAGAGAATGAGAAAGCTGTATCAACCAAAAGGTTCTTTCACATTTATGTGTGTATAGTCTTTGATCTTCAGAGTTGCTTCATTGCCACGTGTGTTAATGTCTCTGATATCTGCAATTTTTTGATTATTTTCATTTTCATTTTCATTCACCCCAGTGCCGCAAAGGCTCCCACCTACAGTGGCGTAAGGGGGGGTCGGATGTATGCAGTCTTACCCCTATACTAAAGCACAGAGAGACTGTTTCCGGATGACCCATAGTGAAAATCGCGTCCAAAATTGCATGGACTGACTTCCGCTTCATAACAAAGAAGCGAAGACAGTTTAGTGAGCCATTTTGCTTTATTCCATCATATTCTCAAGCCAAAAAATAATGAAACTTTGGCTCCATTGCAAATGATGGAAATATGTGCAATTTTTTGATAAAAAATAAAATTCATGGCTCCTTATATACATTCTTTCAGTTTTAAGAGACATATTTAGCTTATGTAGGTAAATCATGTAAGGCTTAATTTCATGCCTTGACCAGCAGTAATGTATTTTGAAGTGTTATGTAAATACTGGATTGTATGGAATTGTTGAGCTTCTCAGTGTTTTTCTCCATCATAAACATTTAGCAAAACAATTATATTTGATGCAAATATTTGGAATCATAAAGTTAGGTTTCAGTAGTTTTTTTTATCCAAACATCATCAAAATGATAATCCAGAATTGCTTCATTGCCATATGTGTTATATATTATACACATGTTAATGTCTCTGATATCTGCAATTTTTTTTGATAAAAAATAAAATTCATGGCTCCTTATATACATTCTTTCAGTTTTAAGAGACATATTCAGCTTATGTAGGTAAATCATGTAAGGCTTAATTTCATTCCTTGACCAGCAGTAATGTATTTTGAAGTGTTATGCAAATACTGGATTATATGGAATTGTTGAGCTTCTCGGTGTTTTTTTCCCATCATAAACATTTAGCAAAACAATCATATTTGATGCAATTATTTAGAATAATAAAGATAGGTTTCAGTAGTTTTTTAGATCCAAACATCATCAAAATGATAATCTTAGAGCCTGTTTGGTAGCGTGAAAATCAGTTGTTTTGGCTGTTTCTGCTGAAATTTATGAAGTTCTGGCTGAAGTGGCTGCATTGGCTGATTCTGCTGATTTAAGAAAAAATTATTTTTAAAATATATCTTATTAATAAAATAAAGAAAAATTACACTTTCTACTTATAGCTAAAATGATCATCTACAGTAACTTCAGCCAATACAGCCAGAAAAGTAACTCCAACCTTAAATTTTCTGCTTATTACACAATTCAGCGCGCGAAAGTAAAAATTACGTGTTTGGTAAAAAAGTTGGCTGATAAGCCGAAAAACAGTGCTGCCAAACGGCCTCTTAATGTGTTTTTGGAAGTAGGTAAGATTTGCAATAGCACCCCCACCCCCTAGGCCCCTACCCGATTTTGAATATTTGTTGTCGTGAACATATTTTGTTAACTCAAGTTAATCATTAACTATTTTCCATCATTTGCAACGGAGCCAAAGACTCACATTTTTTTGTAATGAAGTAGCAGTTAGTCCATGCAAATTTTGACGCAATTTTCACTAAGGGTCATTTAGAAACAGTCTCTCTATGCTTTAGTATAGAGGTAAGACTGCGTACATCCGACCCCCCTTTATCCCACCGTAGGGGGGAGCCTTTGCGGCACTGGGGTAATCAGGGGCGGATCCAGAATGTTCAAGGGTTGGGGGCACCTATTAAGAGATTTTTTTGAATAATTTAGTAATTAAGTTCAAATGATGAAATAATCCAACATTATCACACTACAAAGCATTGCATTTTATTATAACAGTTTTCTACGAGTTTTTTTTTTTTTAAAACGATTGACCACAACTTCGTGGCTAACCGCATCAAACACATCTTTTTCAACGTAACATCCATAACAAATAAGAAGCAAACAAATTGCTTTGTCATCTGTTACATTAGATTCCAACCAACCTCTCGCATTGATCAAATCAATTTTGTTTAAACAACGGACAAGTACAAATCAATTGATTATAAACATTTTTAGTGATTAATTCAAAATGAACATTTTTTAGTGAAGGTATACTATTTGATATATTAACACTTTAACACTCGCCTTTTTTTCAACACCTCCATTTCTGATGAAGGTGGTGTTTTTCTTTCAAAGTATCTCATTATTGTTGTTTAATCTGTCCAAATATATTTCGGTTCAAAATTACACTTACGAATATCAAAGTGAAAAGCATTTTCTTAAAAGTAAAGTTAAACTATTTTTCTTTTTTGAAAGTAAAGTTAAACTATTTATTGACTAAAAAGAAATAAGTGTACTACACCACAAAAGTCTATTACGATTAAAAATTTAGCACCCTTATAAAATGTGGCATTAATCATTTCGAAAATATAAATTCTAATCTAACAACGATATTAAAATGAACTAATTTGTACATATGTAATTAAAATCGCAAATAAGAAGCAAATTAGTTTAAAAAAAAGTAGTAGAAATTTATTAACCCTAAAAAAGATAATACAAATAGGAAAACTGAATCTGAGAGATAAAGAAGTGGAGAAGTGTTTTATTGAAACATAGAAGAAAATTTTAATTGCAAATTTATAGCGAATGACCTTAGCCTTTCATGAATTAACATTTTGAGTACTCAGCCAAAGATAGCTAATTGTTTTGCTCCCTAAGTTATTTTTCATTTTGACTTGTTTATCCATAATTAAATTATTAAAATAATAGGTTGAAATGATGAGGTGGGAGTTGGAGACCAGCAAATAGGAAGAGTGCCGTTCAACAATGAATTGTGTTTAAATTAATGGGGGCATCTTTTATTTTCATTGGGGGCACCTCCTCATTTGTTTAAAATTAAATAATAAAATTTGAATAAAGCTACAAAGCCATTGGGGGCATGTGCCCCCATTCATTTACAAATGGATCCGTCCCTGGGGGTAATGATGATGATGAAGTTAATCATTAACTACTAATCTGATTAGGGTTGCTACTCACTAATCTACTTGTTTCTTGACTGGGTTCAAACTCAAGTTGCACTTTCTTGTAGCTTGAAAACACCCAATGTGGTTGAACTTCTGGATTCTTCTGTTATTGCTCGCCTCATTGAGATCTTGAAGACATCATCTCCAGACATGCAGAAAAAAGTTGCTTCCATCCTTGAGTTTGTTTCAGTTGTTGAGGCGTGCACTGAAAAGATATTCTCAATTGACATGGAATCTGGGTTAGATGCCGTTTTTCAACAGGAATGTTTGAAAGGTATGGGGACATTTACTTGTATGAGGGCTTTTAAGTAATGCTGCTTAAAGTATGACACAAAATGCTGCTCATACTATAAGTTTCCAGATGTGCGTGAAAATCTGATTCAAAGCAGATGTCTATAAAGTGTTTGAACAAAAAAAAAGATGAAAAGAAATGCCTATATTAAAAAAAGACAGGGAAGGGTCCCACCACAGGGTGTATAAGGGGCAAGCCTTCCCTCCCCTCCCATTAACTGGTGCACCAAGTACAACAATTATAATCATTTCTTTTTCTTGTTTTCGAGTCCATTGCATGATTTTTGAAGTGCTTAGTGTGTGTCTTCTTTGTTGATATGCTCTAGTGATCATCAACGGTCTGGTCCACACTAGCCCAAAACTAATGGGTTTGGGTTGGGCCGATATTTTGTAATTACGCCCTCCGTATTTTTTGTTTACTACAATATGTGTTGGCACATTTTTTAAGAGTGAAATAGTAGGGGTAATGAATAGTGTAGAAAAAGTAGGAGAGATGATGGAAAAGTATGAAAGAGAAGATAAAAAGTAGAAAAAGTAAGGGTAGTTGAGTATTTTTAAAGAAAAAACTTAACAAAAAGGGAAAATGTAGCAAATTTTTTAATACATCCAAAAAAGGGAAGTGTAGCAAACAAAAAAGTACGGAGGGCGTAAAATGTAGCCCATCTGTATAGTTTTGGCTTAAGGGGATGGGCCAGCTGGCCCACATGTCACCAATAGGGATGTGCCTAGATGGGCTTATAAGAAAAAGGGAAAACTGTCAAATAGGTCCTCGAACTTTCATAAAAAAGTCAATTAAGTCCTTTTATAGGAGACTTTGTCTGGTCGTCGCGATTTGGGGCGGTTCCCGGTGGAATTTTTTGATGAAATTTTTTGAGCATCTTATTCATCAAGTCTAGTTTACTCATACCAAATTTCAGCTAAAAATTCAATCGGGAGAGCATTCAAATTAATTCGAGAACGCAAAAATGCGCAGTTATCTTCAAGAATCAATTTGAATGTGTTCATGATTGAATTTTTAGCTGAAATTTGGTATGAGTAAACTAGACTTGCTGAATAAGATGCTCAAAAAATTTCATCAAAAAATTCCACCGGGAACTGCCCCAAATCGCGACGGCCGGACAGAACCTCCTATAGAAGGACTTAATTGACCTTTTTATGAAAGTTCGAGGACCTATTTGACTGTTTTCCCTAAGAAAATTGCAAAAATTCTTTATGCATCACAAAATACAATGTAATCAATTAAACAAGTGAAAAAAAATTATTACTCCAAAAACTGTAATAATAAAATGAAAGTTCAAAATATCTATTTCTAAGTTTTTGGTGGTTCACTCTCGAAAAATAAATGTAAAAATACATAATTATCAGTACATCACAGATTCACACTCATTCTTCTTTATCTAAATTCTCTAGCTCTATCACAAATTTTTATCACCTAGTTTTTCATCATTTTCAATGGAGCCAAAGACTCACTATTTTTTGGCTTGAGAATATGATGGAATAAAGCAAAATGGTTCACGAAACTGTCTACGCTTCTTTGCTATGAAGTAGCAGCCAATCCATGCAATTTTGGACGCTATTTTCACTATGGGTCATCCAGAAACTGTCTCTCTGTGCTTTAGTACAGAGGTAAGATTGCGTACATCCGACCCCCCCTTACCCCACCGTAGGTGGGAGCCTTTTGCGGCACTGGGGTGATGATGATGATGATGTACATTTACTTTCATCTAAGGAAAGTACATTTACTTCAAAAAGAAGCATATGACAGGAAAATGTATATATGCTTTTAGTAGCAAAAAAACATTTTAATGTTTTGCTTAAGAAAGCAGCAGATTTGTGCTATTTTAAACAGAGCACCTGTAGTGCTGAATTGAGAAATGAGTTGTGATAAAAGCACATATACCACTCTTACCTTCTAGCACCAACTAAGTGACAACTAACTTCACAATACATATTCTGTTTGATGTAGCTATGCATCTGTATAAGAATATCATGTAACTTCGCGTAATAGTTGGTTCAACCGACTTCCTTCCTATATTCCTTTGAGCGAATGCTACTAGGTTTCCCCAAACAAGTGAACAGTACTCGACATGGTTAGATGTGAACTTCTTTCAATGGGTTTAAGCTAAGCTTTTCCAGTTTTACTTGCATGATTTATATGGGCTGTGGGCCTGTGGCGTCTTAACTGTCGCTCATTTTAGGTACTTTGAATGGCCAAAAGCGCCGAAGTACTTGAAAGAGTGGGTATCATCTAGATGATTTTAAATTTGTTATTTGGTTGTAATCATCTATGATGATGTCAAATATCCAAGTTCTATACAAATTTAACAGGTAAGGGTAAGTAATTGCGTGTAGCATCTTGGCTGAAAAAGGAGAATTAAAACTTATAGCTGAAAAAGTTCTGTTGCTCAGCATTCAGTATTTAGGCAAAATGCAAATTGTCTGTTTAACTTTTAGAGTGTTATAGGCTTAAATATGTATTAGTTCCTGCAAATGTAAGGTTTTTTGTTTTAGAACTCGGTAAAACTATTTTTTGTTTGTTTTTGTTTTTCGTGTGAACAATTGATCTATTTTCTCTCTCTTTTTCTTTTATCTTTTATTTTCTTTATTTTCTATGTTCTTATGTTATTTCTATCTTTTATCCTTCTTATGTTGCTTTATCTTTTTATCTTTTATCTTTCTTATGTTATTTTTTATCTTATATTTATTTTTATCTTATCCATTTTTTCTTATTCATTTTATCTTACCTTATCTTTTTATTTTTGTTATCTTTATCGCTCTGATGTCATGGATTGACTCATGTTACCCGACGCCAAAATCTTTTGGGATTAACGTTTGAATGTTGTTGTTTTTAGTCCTTCTCTGTGTCTCTAGAAATTTCAATTTAACAACAAAACTGACATGACTAACACGATATCACTCTTGCTTTTTCATTTTTTTTAAAACACCTATTTTTTCCAGAGCCAAATCTATATTGAGGATGTGAAAGATTAGTTTTGTTTAGCATTAAATCCACTAATAGTCTCCAAATATTTGTAATTTATATAAAATTTAGATTAGAGTTGTGCTAAGCATATTATTATTCTTTCAAAGTGGAGATTGATAAAGAACTGAGGACTAAAATAAAACAATATAAACTGCTGGAATGAGAAAAAAGTGCTGTGTTCCAAAATGTCTTCATTATTTTCCTTTCCATTCGTCTCAAAATAAACATCTATTCCTTTTATGACAAAGATTTGGTGGTGCGTGTTGCTTTTTTCTCCTCAAATAACTCTCAACCACACAATTTTCACTTTCTTAGTCTATGGGAAAAGTCAGAAGATGAGTTAATATTGGGACAGAGGTAGGGGTGGACCCGGTCGGCGGTCTTGGAAACGGTCCCGCTACTGTCCGGGACCAGACTGGGTCTGGAAAACCGGTCCCGATGCAGGACCGGGTACCCGACCGGCTACCAGGCGATCCCGGTCCTGGGTTCCAATATTTAGGAATGAACCGGGTGTTTCCGGTCCAGGACCAGCCATTTTTTTATAGCTTGAAATGGGTTACATAAATATAATGGGTCCGGGACTGGACTGCCCGGGTACCCTGAACCAGACTAGACCCGGAATATAGTGGTTCGGGCCCGCTCCTCTTCAGATAATTTTTAGGACCGGGGCAGTCTGAGCCTAGAACCAGGACCGGATCAACCCGGGTCCACCCATAGACATGGATGGAAAACAAAAGTTAGTATTTGTACGGAATAAAAACACATAAGTTTTTCCTCTTGGGGTTCTGCTCACTGAACTGCACTACACACAGAGACGCGGTCAGATTTTGATGGATGGAGGCCCGAACTGCATGCTCTGGAAATTGAAGAAGCTGGTTGTGCCATATCCGCAGCATCCCGTCTACTCACCAGATTGCTGGAATTTGAGCATTTCAGGCGCGTAATAGATGCATCCCACTTCACTGAATTGCTTCGAAGAGTCCTCAAGTCAAACAATGTTCCTCTTCATCACAAAGAGTGGGTCGCTGCTTGCCTCGTCAAACTCACCTCTCTATCCAGACCCGGCCCCTATTCTTCTTCAAGCTCTGAGAACCCAATCGACATGGAGGTAACTGTTTATGAGACTATCCCAAGACTGGTAGAACAGATGCAAACCTCATTTTCTCCTGAGGCTGCTGTTGTGGAGCTAAACAAGATTATATCCAAAGGAGTGGTGGGTTCCACTCAAGCTCTCTCTGCCGCAGGAGGGATATTCCCCTTGGTGAGCATCATTGAGAGTGGGACTGAGAAAGCTGTGGAAGCTGGGCTAGCTGTATTGTATAATCTAAGCATGGACGCCGAAAACCACGCAGCCATTGTTGCAGCTGGAGCAGTTCCAGTTTTAAGGAGGATTGTGCTATCACAGCGGCCTCAATGGATGCGTGCACTTCGTCTGCTTAGAAATTTACCTACCTGAAAACTGTCAGAATATTTGGTGGAATGCAGAGAAAGTACATAAGATATGACGTGTATTTGTTAGCTTGTATTTTTACCCCATTTGTACCTCACTATATGAGTGGCTCACAAAACCCCAACCCCACAAAATAATTGCCCCACTTAATTCATTGCTTTTTTCTAACCACAAAACTAGGGAGGGGTACAAAATGGGGTAGGATTTGGGGGTACCAATAGCAATTTTGATTTGTCAAAGATCTTGCATCATGATCTTATAATCTAGTACTAGGTCTTCATTCCTTTAGGAAAAGTTCCTTTGTCTCTCTAAACTAAAAAAAAGTTCTTTTTGCAAATTGTCAACTTGATATTCACTGTGTGACACATTGTGCTGGCAGTTAGGGGTGGAAAAACCGAACCGAAACCCGGAAATCGACCCTGGACCGACCCGAATTATGATTCCGGTTCGGGTTTTTTCTTTTTAACCGGCCCGAATTAAAAAAAACCTGGACCGAACCGAAAATTCCGGGTTCATTAACGGGCCTTAAAATCTATAAGCCCGGACCGAAAAAACCCGAAACAATTAATTGTAATATAAAATTAATATAGTATATGAATAAAAATAAAATATTTCCTAATATATCATTATAATCACGGTGGATAAAAAAGATTTAGTAACTTTTAGTGACTACAAATATGTTGAATTTGTTTAGCGTAATGATGACCATGAGAATATATTTAGCAACTCTAGTAACTTTTTGATTTATAAAATTTATTTCGTAATATTTTAAAAAATCCTATATTATTTATATATATATATATACATCTTACATAATATATTAAGATAATTATCTTCTTTAAATTTGAATTGTTGGTGATTTTGGAGACTAATATTTGTGTTATTATTCGTGGTTTGTATTTTTGATTAATTTTATTTGAAAATAAGTGTTAAAATATAAAAGAACGATGACATATTTCACGTTCGGGTTTTAACCGGTCCAACCCGAACCCGGGCTACCAAAAACCCGACTCGGACCGAATACAATGGGCTTTGTTCCGGTCCCTAATTTTCATAACCCGAGACCTTCCGGGTAATTTCCGGGTTTAGCAAAAACTTGACCCAGACCGGACCGATCCCACCCCTACTGGCAGTGCCAACTGAATGGCTTCACCGGTCGTTTCAGCTCCCGGTACGGATCCAGGTCATTTTTTTCCATTTTTGTTTCTTAAAATATATAATATGGAGTAAAATTGATTATATATAAAATCAGAGTAGTCTTCATGTCAGGTCGGCCTAATGGGATGCTTCGTCCGGACGAGGGCATTTCGGGCATTTCCCGGTGGAATTTTTTGATGAAATTTGTTGAGCATGTTCTTCATGAAGTCAAGTTTATCCATACCAAATTTCAGCTAAAAATTCAATCGGGAAGACATTCAAATAATTTCTTGAAGTTAACTGGACAGTTCATACATATAAACTGCCCAGTTAACTTCAAGAAATTATTTGAGTGTCTTCCCGATTGAATTTTTAGCTGAAATTTGGTATGGATAAACTAGACTTCATGAAGAACATGCTCAAAAAATTTCATCAAAAAATTCCACTGGGAAGTTCCCGAAATGCCCTCGGCTGGACGGCGGTTCCCGTCAGGCCAGCTGGACTGGGAAGTTCCCGAAATGCCTTATTTTCTTTTTTGAATTGTCTCAAAATAAATGGCATATTACCTTTTTTGCAAAGAAACAATGGGTTACAACATTTCATTTTTTATTGTACTCAAATCTTAACCACAACAAGATACTCCCTCCGTGGCTCCGTCCCTAAATAAACTTCCAATTTTTCTTTTTCGTCCGTCCCAACTAAAACTTCTACTTTCCTTTTTTGGTAAAGAATTTGTGGTTCACAACATTTCTGACACATTTTTCTCTCCTTTGCACAACTCTTTACCACACAATAGCCACTTTCTTAAATTGTGTGCCCAACCTATTTGGAAGTGTTATTAGGGACGGAGGTAGTACATAAAATGGGAATATGGGATGGAGGTACTGTATGATTATACTCTCTCCGTCTCGTAAACAACTTCTCACTTTCCTTTTTGGGCAAACACGAAATTAACTTCACACTTCAAAACTTTCCTTATTTGGCAAATTATCTACATCAAAATAGTGCCAAACAGTGTCAAACAGTGTTTAAACAGTGCAAAATAGTGTACTACATAGTAAAGTCAAATTTATTTTCTTAAACAGTTTGAAGTCAAATTGTAAACTTAATTGCGAGATGGAGGGAGTATAATTTACATCGTATAAAAAAATAGTAATCAGAGCCCGTAATAATGTGTAATATTACTCCCTCCATCCCTGTTTAATTATCTTGCTTAGTATTGTAGGCATTTTAAGGAAATACTCTCTTCGTCCCACTAACAATGAGACATGAGGGGTGGCACGCATAACAATAAAGGTGTGTTTATGTGGTTGATTGAGATACCAATAAAATATTGCGTACTTGGTAATTATTAGTAATTGCAATTGTATTCAAAATTTTCATCGTAGTGACTAAATGTATGTTATTATGATGTCAACTTTGAACGCAATTATAGTCACTAACAGTTACTAAGTCGCATTTTTGTCCACTAAGGAAAACCCCCAAATTTAAAATACCATTTCCTTTTCATACTATATATATGTATCATATATAGTACTACCTCCGTTTTTTTTTTAATCTTCACAGTTTGACTTCACACAAAATAAGGAAAGAAATTTGACTTTACTGTAGAGTACACTGTTGAGGCACTGTTTGACACTGTTTGGCACTGTAGAGACACAGTTTGGCATTGTTTTGATGTAGATTTCTTTGCCAAAAAAAGAAATAAGGAAGTGTGAAGTTTATTTTAGACCGTCCCAAAAAGGAAATTGTGAAGTTTATTAAAAACCGGAGGGAGTTTGATACATATTTAGTAACCTAGCAACCAAATTAATATATGGACAACCTCCCGTAGGTAGGTGTCATGTGTGCGCTCCCGGTGTCCTCTTTCGGCCAGAATTCTCTGTTTTTTCTATTTAAACAGCCTGTAAATCCCTATTTTCAAGACGGAGTTTAGAGAGAGGTCTGGGGACGAAATTTTACGTATTTTTCCTCATTGTTCTTCAACACCCTGTGATTATTTGTAAGTTCCTACTTTTTAATTAATGACAATTAATTCTTTTCTTCCCAATTTTGTTGATTATTGAATTATGAATTGTGAGTAGTTTTAATTAGGGATTTGAGATTGATGAAGAGGTTGGTCATGATGTATGGCTAAATTCATGATGGGTTAATTACATGCATGTTATTTAATTTGTGTTTTAATAATTTAATTGATATCTTTTGTGACCTGGAACGACCGCTAGGATTATAATTGCATGTAGAATAAATTAATAGAGATCTAATTTATTCTAGGACTCCTTCACACACACTTAATCGTTCGCTAAGAGATTAGTAACAGTTAAGGGAACGTACGCTCGCTCGTTTTGGCAATAACTTTAGATATCTGTCACATGAGAGGTCAGCCGGGTTCCCTAAACTATTGTACTCTACACCGCGATGGCGGTTAGAACTTAGTATTGACCACCGTTGCTCAATTAAATAGTTTTCATGTGATTAAGCCTGATCAACCAGAAATCTTATTACCGCGGAGTCAATCCCTATTCCCTTAGTAGTTAATTAGAAAGAACCTAGCTTTTTAATCGTGTGCTAGGATTTTAATTTTCCAAACCACTCAATCTCGCACAATTGCATTTTTTTCATTCGCTGAATTTATTTAATTCTTAATTCCTTTTTTCCGTCCCTGTGAAGACGATACTCATACTTATACCCTATACTGTTACATATTGTTAGTGCGAGAAAACTCACATCAGTTTTTGGCGCCGTTGCCCGGAACGGTGTCAGTTGTAAGGGTTAATTAATTTCAGCGAGATTTTTTTTTAGTTTTCTTTTAGTTTTTCATGGGATTTTTCTTTGCTAACCTTTCAGGCATTTTTGTAAGAGGAATGAGATGGAGCAATTCAGCTCAATTCCTGGAGGAACATTTTACCCTCAACCCTCCACGGAATATTCATCATATAGGCCCTATCCTCCTTACATTCCTCATCAATATTATTTCATCATCAAGATTACTCCCATACACCACAAAATATTCAGTCTTCCTATTCTTAGATTTATTACCCTCCAATTACGCAACACTTCCAATCTGATTCTTCTCATTATTACCCTTCATCACAATATCCTTGTTTTAGAGCAAGATCAGGCTTTATTCTTGAATATCTTCTCCAAACTAAAACTCTTGAGGAATTATCTCATTACTTTCCTAAGAATAGCATTTGTTCCTTCGGTGGCGGATGTCACCATTTATGTCTTTGCCCCATTAAACCTCCATATGACCATCCTACTGGGCAACTGCATACCCCATTTCATCCCCTCCGCACTTTAGGAGCACAAATATTCCAGTCATTCCAACATCCTTGCCGAGTGATGAGCCACAGAATCAATTGGAGGAGAAAACTTGTAACACCCCGACCCCCGGGATCCGAGGTAGTTACTCCAGACCTCTAGTACTGTCCTCACAAACCACCACGAGCCTTTACTGTGCACTTTGTCCTCACTCATGCACATCCTAAGAAACTTCCCAGGGGGTCACTCATCCCACGACTACTCCCGTGCAAGCACGCTTAACTTTGAAGTTCTTAGCTGATGAGCTTCCTTAAAAGAAGATGCACCTCTGTTGGTATGATAGTACTATTAATCCATTTACATTAATCTCGAGTATTACACAACTTCAAGAAGATTATCTGACTTGGAAGAGATGCTCATACAGTTCATGCAGACAACTTCAGCCAGAATGCAGAATCTAAGTAACCTGGCGAGTCAGGCGGCATAAGCCCAATCTGAGCAGTCCGAGAGATCCCATCCTAGCAACACTGAAACCAATCTGAGTGAACAAGTCGAGGTTATCACGCATACATATGGGAAGCACCTTGAGGAAGTTGATCACAATAAAGATGTGTCTCTCCCCGTGAAAGAAAAACCGTCATGTACATACTCTGATGTTCACTCATGCATTGTCCCAAATCTGAATTTGTTTGATTCAACGCTTAAGGATGATACTCCTTTTATAAATAATGTCAAAATCATCCAAAAGACATTGATAAGAACATTGTTAATGAGATTTGGGATGCTCACATGGAGAGTGATACAGAGTC